AGAAGGAAATATAACCATCCCTAAGTGTAAAAAATTTATATAATAAAATATAGTTTATATATTAAATATTATATTTAATACAACATTTTTATAAAAATTATAATTAAAAATTAGTTGATTTCTTTAATATTTGAATCAAAATTGTTTATCTACAAAATAAAAAAAATAAAATAAACTTTCCAAACATTTGAAAAAAAAATCTTTTAAAAATAAAAAGATCAAGAGCAGGGAAATTCTTAAATTATGAAATAATTGTAATAAAAATAAATCGATAATGACTATTCGATGATAATTCATATAATAAAAAAATATTAAAAATATTCGCTGAATGTTTATACATGATATTTAAATATGGATTTATCGGCAATTGTAGTTGGTTTAGCATCGGTGCCACGTCCATACATATGCGTAATAGGGATAGTAAATTAATTAGCAATACCAAATTATAATTGCGCTATCAAATAGAACCGAATAAAAATAATCAATTTTGTAACAAACAAATAAATTAAATAAAAATAATATTGCATTTCACTGATAGCAGAATTAAATTATTACATCCAATTTTTGTTTTGATAAATCAGAAATAAAAATTTGAATATCTTTTTACTACACACAAACTGCAATTAAAATATCGCATAATTTTGTCCGAAATTAACTTTTATTAAAGAACTAACTATCATAAACTTCTATTTGGATTTGAAACTTCGTCACAATTCCTCTGATAAAATAAATAAAATAACTATACAATACGAATTTTTTAAACACACGTGATTACTTACTGTATACACAACCTGATAATAAACTTTCAACTTGAATACAAATTTGAAAATATTCACTATAAATTAATGAACTTGATTCTAAATAACACGGAATATGTAAGAAAAAGTAAACATTTTATTTGTAGTGTCTAGATACTAAATACAGCCCTAAGATATTTATGAAAATTTGAAACTAATTTTGTAACAAGACGAACAGTGATAGTAACGGTAAGAGGAACACAAATGGATATGCTCATTGTTATCTAATTTATCTATAAATATTATCTAGTGTACACGAAATTAGTAAGTAGTTTGATTTCGTGCAGTTGTGATATAACTGTCTCAACGGTAGCGATTGTAAACGCAGAATTTTTTTGCAAATACAAATGGACAAAACAGATACCATTATGAGGGGCTTACCCTCTATTTGTGACATACATTGACCTCTACCGTAATATTAATTCGTCTGAAAATCTCCACGGAAACTGGCTGATTGAGGCGAGAAAGAATCGATCGTAACTACAACAAAATGTACAGAGCAACAAGAAACGATGGATAAAAAATACGTCCATAAGAGTCAGGGTATACGTGCTCCCGGGCATGGCTCTTGTCAAAAGCTCCAAATAACAACATGAGTGTTATTGTTTCTTTGTCCGATCGGTCGCAGACAGCAATGAAAGTTAATATGGTCCCATATGAACAGAAAAATACTGTTGATGGTTCCGAATCAGCTTACTGTTTCAAATTGTATCCATACTTGTGACACTTACTGTAATATTGGCGTGTATTTCGTATTTCTTCCCATTTTTACCGACGAACCTGCAGCTAAGTTCGTCCACACTCGCAGACATTATCTGAAATCTCTCATGGCTCTTAGGGAAGACGGACTCAAGAGTTTTAATCTCCTGCTTAAGAGTGTTCAAACAAGCCATTTGGGGGAGCAAACGAAAATGCCGGACCCCAAATTTTTCGGCGGTGCTTGTTCCAAAAAGTACAGCAACCCGAAAGAAACACGACGTACCCGATGACTACCCGACAAAATGGCGACCGCAACTGACTACTTCGGCCAGTCTCGTGCAATTTCGTTTGCTCTCGTCACAGATGCCAGCACTGAACTATTCAAATGCTCATGACGTCCTTCCGGTACAGCTGAGTGTGATTGAACGTGTTGCGGCATTTAAAACAAAATTCCTTAGGAAAAGAATTATATTACCTTTTTAACATTAAACCTCAAACTTAATTAATCAACTTTAATTTTATTTCAAATACGCATATTTCATATTTTGTATATCCTGTTGAATTACCATAGTTAAAATTTTAAATATTGTTTGCAAGAACAGAATTATCATTTCTTTATACTTTACGATTCATTATAATATTCAAATATATGTAATTAATTGTTAATTTTTCTTAATTTTTATTAATTGTTAATTGTTAATTTCAATTTTTAATTTTTAAGTATGTTATTAATTACAATGTATAATAATTTTCGGAACTAATAGAATAATTTATTCTGACAAAAACAGCTGTTACTTACACGTTGCTTATTAGTCAATACCTCGATTTAAAAACAATAAGTTTTGAATTTGACTCTTATTCTATCAGATATAGTTTGTTTTAAGAAATTCATTATACTGTTGTAATATATTTAAAATGTTTACGATTCCCTCTTTTAATCAAAGTAATTAATTTCAATTTAATGTGAAATAATCAACACTTGTTAATTATATCATGAATTTATTTGAAATGTCTAGTATGTCTAGTTCTTATGATCTATATGTACAGATGATAGTGTGATAAAGTATAATACACGCATTTTAGCGTGTTAACAAATAAATGCTCTAATCTAACATACTAAAAATAATTAAATTCTAATTTTTGGACTGGGCCCACAAATTTGTTTTCGGTTTCTTTTATTATTTCGGAATACAGTACATGGTAAGTATTATTTTTTGTGCTCTATTGAATAGCACAAAGCAATTGATATTTTACACATACTGAAACCATTATTAAAATAATTCAAGAAATTCGAACTTGGGTATTTATTGATCAATTCGTATTCGTGTGCCCTTCAGTAGTATACATTTTTTGTAATACTTTACTTGCTTTTTGCGTAATTATCTGTACATGGCATAAGAAACTGTAATTACTTATTTATAACAATGCGCTTACAATGCAACGCAATTAACATTATTGATATTTTACTAAATTTATTAAATAAAATATCTACAATATTACATGCGCATGAAATTATAGCGACTTAAACAATAATAATTGCTTCATGTTTTTTTTTCTTTCTAAGTTTCTTTACGAAAATAGAAAAATTAAAATCTGGCACATTATAAAATGTAAATAATAAATACTATTTTACATATTATTGTACAGACCTTTCACTGAATATTTTTTATGCATGAATTTCTTGGGTTATTTCCTTTTTTGTCTTTTCATTAACATTAGAAAAGGGTAGACACCAGTCCGTGGTACATAGTCTTTTTAATGGCAATAAAATCTTTGTAATCTTTGTGACTTAGTGTAATTTATAAATAACAAAATATACCATATTTCCACCGTAACAGGATGCCTAAGCCTTTCTCTTATGTGGAAAATCCATGATGGTCAATATTAATTTACCACTAGAATTATTTTCATACATATACATATATATATACATGTCATTTTTGCATATACATATTTAATTTTTTTGTTTCATGTAATAATAATAGCGAATGTGAAAGTTCATCAGTCAATAATACTAATTTAAGCCTCTCTTTTTGAGAACAGGATTAGTTGTGATTGCGTACTTATACGCTTGACATAGACGAATTCATCCTCCTTAATTACATACAGTATTAGTTTCCATTTAGTTAAACAGACTGAAAAACATTTACAGATGTTTTCATAATAAATTATCTTACATAACAATTTTAAATCATTTTACTTTTGCATCCCATATCATGATTAAAATGGAAGACCATCTCGAGTGGCTTTATAAATGTAATGATCTATTAATTTTGCAGATTCAATAGCATTTCTTTATAAACGTGTTTCCAAGATACTTAGTAGCTGTCATACCTTTTTTCTATATAAGTGAATTTGTTACATTATTATTTTATATTCAAACTCATAGAATGTATTTCAACGTAAATACAAATTTGCACAAAAAAGAAAAAAAAGGAGACAATTTATATTTAAATTCAAATTTGTATTTTTGTCATTATTTTCTACACGATTAAAAATATTTGATTAATGGTAATGCTGATCTAATTAAAAATAAAACGAAATTAATTTCGCTTTTTGAATGATTGTACTCACATTTGAAATTGTTATAAAGCCTTCACAAACACTGGTGATACATATCTCACTGACTGTTAATACATGTCATATAGTTTTAATGATATTCTAAACTGCATTTCTTTTATTGACTTAGATATTTACACACTGACAATATCTGAACAGATTTGTTTGCATCACTGTGTACGGTGTTTCTGATAAGTGAACTTTAGAAAATAGAGTTTTCCAACATTCAGAACTTAGAATATTTTTACCTAGTGTAAGCCTTGTTAAACTTACGTCACAATTTATCTTAAACCATTGTTGTGAATTAGTAACGGTTTTAAATTATTCTTCAGCAATTATCAGGATACATATTAGTAATAGCTAGGAACTTGAAGAAGCATTACTTCCATCTCTTTAAATATACAAATGCCAAATTTTTTTTTTTTCATTTTCTTTTTTTTTTCTTTTTTTTATATCCGTTCAATTTGCAATATAGGTAAATTTTAAACAACATACCTATAGCATTTCACATCCGTCAATCAATTATCGCGTAGCGGCACTTTCTTTCTCCGAATCACATTAAGATTAAAACTTTCATTTTATTTATAAAGAAATATTACACGTGAGATACTCTGCAGCAGAGGTAGAAAAAATGAAATGGAGAAAAAGAAAGAAAGGAATGGTCTTGATAGTCACAATATTTATGGTTTTTGCTTGTCATTCGCTTAACAACCTTCAGTTGTAAACGAAAATCTTAAAGAAAAGTGTTAATAATCTTAATATATAAAAGCATATCTAAACTGCCAACTGTGCAACACTAATTTTATACATTTCTTTTATTTACAAGCATACTCTCGTTAATAGATACACTTTGGAGAAAGAAATAGCTCACAGTATGTCACAGATTCCTTGTATTATAAAAGGTAATCTTCAATTGTGTGCACTCTTTCTGGCACATGACGTCAATATAGATTAATCCGGTTTACGGTTCTTCAGAGCATGTAATAATACAGATTTATTACATATGAGTCAAAGTAATCGGCTTTTTTAAAATGCCGAATGATAATAATCGTAAGTAGGCCAGTAAGGCTGTAGCCAATCCTAGCTGGTGCGTTGTCGCTTTTTGGCAGGGTGTTCCTCAGAGGAATGTGCAGGAGCAGGCATTGTCATTTCACCATCTCTATTAAACATATACCTCAATTGGGGCATGTATTTCATTATACTTTTTACTTGTATTAATGGCAGTTCTTCATTTAAAGATGAACACTTTCCTGCTTCCATTAACATCTTCATTTGTAGCCTTTAAAAGAAAGCATTTTATGTTAAACTTTGTTTATATAAATCAAAATATCATTATGGTATATTTTAAAATAAATAAAATATATTTATAAAATATTTTATACCAATAAACTTTGTACTAACATTCTGTACAAATAGTATACAGAAAATAGTATTTTCTTACCTATTTCCTTGATACAGATCTACATGTAAGACGTCTGTAAGAACCTGCCGACAGCAATTAATGTCACAGGCAGGAAAATACTGAGCGACAAAGTCAGGAAGTGTCATCAATAATTCAGAATATATATATGGCTTGAAATTAATACAAGGTACCATCTTGTCTCCTACCAGAGCTTTCTGAATTTGATAAGGTTGAACTTGACAGGTCGATATATGTGTTTCTGATATTGAGATCAATGGCTTTCTGCCTCTTGAATCCCTAAAAGCAGGTACTTCAATGTAAGAATAAAATATTATTTATTTTCTCTAAATTAACCCAATCTTGATTAACATAAATTTAAAAAAGACAAAATGGATGATCTCATACCTGGTACTATTATTACTACCATTAACTGGTATTAATGGTGGTGGATACTTTGCATGTGACGTGTTATGTATGGATGCTGTATGCCTTTGTGGATGCAACAGTGTAGATACCGATGTAGGTGATGGCATCAGAGCTTGTACTTGTTCGCTTAAACCAAGCATTTGGGGGTATGTACTTGCTGTGACAGCATTTGGCACACCTAAAGTAGGCGTAGTATATGTTGAAGTAACCCTAAAATGGAAATATTTTATGTCAAATCTTATGACATATGACGATTTAAGAAATACGTTCAACTGCAATTATACAATTTACATGAACTACAGTACTTAATAAAAATGACAAAATGTTTATATAAGATACAATATTGTACATATAGTCTACACATTGTTGAATAGTTTAACAAAATTTTAAAGTGTATACTAGTTTAAAAGAATATGAATCCAGAGATATGTACATGAGATATTAATCATTATAATCAGATTCCCTACAAAATGTATATACTGGTTTATTATATTTATGTATAAATATAATAGCACTTTGAATATTGTATGCTTTGTACAATTTACAATATTTTATATGTTAATACTTATCACAAAGGTAATAAGAATTGAAAACTAATATCTTATATAAAATAATAAATAAACACAAAATTAAAATGAATAATTATCAAAGTTTCACATATATCAATATCTCATTAAAAATATTACATTTCTAAGAAAAGAAATTGATAATAATCTAATTTACAAAAAACAAAAATAAAAATATGTATATAAAAAAAAAAGAAAATATAAAGCAAACATATATGTTTACGTAAATAAAAGAAATAAAAACATTAGAAATAGAATATAAGTACTGTTTGAAAAGGCAACACAGGCAATATGTAGTTATTGCAAATTTATATAAATCAAAAATTTGTTAATTGTAATGTTCTTGTGCATGCTATCTTACTTTTTTGTAGTAATCATGACTATAGTACATTTTACAGGGACTCACCAGTCATCCTTCCCATAGGTTGGATAACTATACAAAAAAATCATACATTGTATGTACAAATGCAAAAAGCTGTAGTGCAGGTTTTCCACATAATAAATAATAACTTTCTTTTGCATATAGTATAACTATATACTCCAAATAAATAAAGTGGTTCCCTAAAATTTGACATTGCATGCTCATTTTACTCTAGTATACATCATATTAAAATCACTTTTCAAATAAAGCTATTTCAAACTTTTAATATGCATTTATAAACTATATACAATGTGAGTGATAAACACAATTCATAATTTTATACCAAATAATATAACTAATAGATGAATGAATTTATATCGAATAAATGATTTAAATAATTCGGTCTTATATAAAATATGAAAAACACATCCAAAAAATATATTGGAATTGTCACATAGAAAATAATAATTAATATAGATATATATATAAAATTTAAGTTACTTGTATGTGTATTTGTGTGTGTATATATATAATTTATTATTTATATATTTATATAATATATTATATATCATATATTGTATATTACATATTATGTATTATATATCATATATTTAATACATTATATATTCATATATATGTTGTATATTATTGCAGAATATTTCACAGCGTGCTTTTTACCACTAAACTCACATCTAATATATAATTTACTGTTCACAAACACTAAATTGAAAGCAAGCACAAAATATTGACAATGCTGTGTAAGAAGAGGAAATGCTTAACATTAAAAGTGAAAAATTGCCCTGAATAGTCTAAAGCTTCACTTAAAAAGAACATACATGGATATATATTAAAAAACACAAGTTATAAGATGACATTCTATTGCTTACCCAAGATTAGGTTGACTGGAATGAACTGTTGCTCTGACAAGAGGGGGTGGTTGAGCCTGAGCAACATTCTGCATGGTTGTAACTGGATATACGCCAGGGTATTGAGTCGCTGTACTACCACCACCCCCTCTACTCCTACTAGATTGTTGTGAATAACTTTTTGGTGGAGTAGATATTTGCTGCAATATAAAATTTCATAGTACTGTTAATAAGAAATTTGTCGATGCATTATTCCAATATAACTTTTTAGTAACATATGTACGAATGTACAAGAACTTAAAATATAAGCTAAATCTGAATTAGAAAACATTTATTAGTATTATTGCATTAATATATTTAAATTTACCTTTTTCTACAGGAGATATTACAGAATAAACTATTATCTAAAAGCATGTCACAATAATTTTTTACTAAAATTTTAACACAGGTGAAAAGATCTTTAAAATATAATTTTAAAATTGAATAACTTTGTTTAGTTACATATATCATAACATAAAGAAAGAAGAAAAAATATCAGTGAGAGGAGGAACTTACATTGTGCATATTTAATGATGACGAGGGCATCCGTATAATGGAACTAGGTTGAGAAACAAGTGTCGTTTGGAAGGTGGGTTGACCACCGACGAGACCCGTCCAACCATTAACACTTTGCACCGTGTTCAGCATCGGTTGTGTGACGATATTTGACCTGCCGGAGGAAAGTGCTGTTGGTGAAGAATGTGCAGGATGGGTCGTTGCAACGGGTCTGGGTTGGCTGACACGTTGCTGTACTTGAGATGTATTTGCAGCAGCAGATCCACGTGGTAGAATATTATGCATAGGGGCAGCACGTGTATTAACGGTTGCCTTATTCGCATTATTTTGTACGGGAACTGGTTTCGTCGCTGGCGGTGTCGGAGGTTGTTTCGTCCAACCACCTCCGCTGCCACCACCTTTACTATTCACTAATAACTGAGAGTCCATCACTTTAGTCGGCCAATAGTCTTCGAACCCCGTGCCAGGGGGGAAATAACTTTTAATATCATTCAAACTAATCACCGAGCATGTTTCACTTGCAAATAGTTCATTACGAATACCCTGTACTTTGCAACAAAATTTTAAGTATGACAAGTCCCAACCTTCGAGTTTCTCTGCTTTCAATTTAAGATTCTCAGTCTCGCCTTCAAAGTAAAATAGAGGGACGTATTGAAGACTGTCCTTTACCGTATAGGGAACTACAGATTCCTTATTTATTCGAATAAATCCACATTTGTCGGCTTTATGCCCACTCGACATGTTAGGATTCGTGCCTGCCGTTAATTTTGTGTAACACACGTCCAGAAATGTATAAAACTCCTTCGCGTCTGAAAGTCGAACCACTAGGTCTTTACACGTAAATGGTTCTCTTCCGAATTGATTCTCGCAGTGTTTCACATTTATATCAGTGAACAACTTGCTCTCCGCTTCCGTAATGTAGTAACTTCTTATACACGTACAACTGTAGATATCCGAGTGTAGGTAACTCAGGTACTTGTTCAGCAGCTTAGATTCTAAAATTCGAACAGCGCAATACTTTTCACCAGAGCGAAATATATATGGTATATGACAATCGTCGAAACTTGTCCATCCGAATCGGCCTCTTTGACTCTCATCATCAGGCGGTACTTTGCCTTCCGCAGAAGCGGGTTTCGTTGTCACAGTAGTTGACGAATCTGCTACCCGCTTATTCAAGTATCCTAAAATACCAGGAAGATTTGATTGCGGAAGGAGACACTGTGGGGGTCTCTGCTGTGCCGGTGCCCCTGGTACCCCGCTGACCATCTTCGCCTTGTTTGCTTCCACCATTTTGGCAGCCAATTCTCGGATTTCCGCTTCATCGGGAAGTTCTTGCTTCACGACAACTTTATCAAAACCTGAAAGATACAAAAAGAGCTATTACTTTCAATGGTACTAATCTAAATTCCTAGCTTTGTACATACACTGGTGTATATACAATTTTTTAAAATAAGCATTACTATTTACAATCTTATAAGCAACAGTAGTCATTCTTAAGTAAAAAAATTTTACTTGAATGCTTTATAATTTAATTACCACGATATTTTCATCAATACATATGCAATTACATATTTGCCTGATCGCCTATTAAAAATAATAATAACAATAACTATTTAAATTTTAAGAATAATCAATAATTAATTTATTAAATATTTATAAACATAGTAAAACATTAAAAGAAAAATTGGTAAAAACCATAAAATAGTTCAGAACATTAAATCACTGAGTAAAATAAATTTACTAGTTTTAAATCTTTTCTTAGATGGTTATCTATGAAAATTGCAGAGAACGGTCGATGAGGAAGAGCGCGGGAAAACATATCGCGTGTCAATGCTCGATGATAACGTATAATCAGTAATGAACATTCAGACAATTATCTCTTATCGTTCTCCGACATACATTGCATAAAAATGATGAACCACTATAATTGCCAATTTCATTCATCGTAAACCAGATTTACAGAGTTCATTTCTACACAAAGAAGTCATCTTTCGTATTGTTCGAAATTCAAAGCTGTCAATTTGCGCGAAACTATACACGTGTCCGAGACCTATGCGCATGAACACCGTTAAATTGACTTCGTATAAGTGCACTAGAATGGTCACTATTTAATTTGAAACATAAATATTGATCGATACTTATTCTTGTTATCAAAAAATTACGACCTTTTTAGTATGGTATATAATTACAATCAAACACAAGTAATTGCTTCTTTTCGCACAAGACACAGTCGCTAAAACTAAGATTAGAAATATTTTTATCCTAGCTGATTTTAAATCGTACATCGTAATTTAGTTACATTGCATAAAATGAATGTAACAACACATTGTGCGATTGCTACTAGTAATTTTACGTAATTTATACGTATATATGCACAATTTTTTAATGTCGTACTAGAAATCATACTTCGGAGAAATCTGTAAATTTTGAACTCGATGTAGTTGCGCACTCGCAGTTTTGTAAAACGCCAAGCACTTCAAACCACTATGCACGTGACATGTATTAATTGATTATTCGTTGTTTAATTGATTTCAATCTAATCAATTTTTGTAACGATAATTAAATAAAACAATGAGTGGTCACCTTCAGGAAAAGACTAGAATGTTTCACTATGCATTTCATTTCTGCCGACGAATTTGACAGAAAAAATACTCTCGCGCTCTTTTCAATCGACATCGATTAACGAAAACAAAGAGCTAATTGAAAGTGCGCGCACGTGTGTATGAAGAAAATTCAATACACTAAGTTTGCAAAGCACAACATCTTTCGTTCGTGAAGGAAAGATGCATTTGAAACGTACTGGGTGACACTTGATCGGGCACCGTCTGCGACGGACTCCTTTTCTCGAGCCATATGGCGTCTGTGCTGCTATCAGCGTTCACTGTATGCATGTCCGTAATGTCGTTCCTCATATTCAACGATCAATAGTGTTTTTTAGTTTAATGAAAATCACATATCGATGGATGCAAAGACGAACGCAAACCAACGAAGAGGTTATACACGGTGCGTCTACTGATGTGCACTGTCGATGAGACGACACACGACCATGTTACACGACGAGGTGAACAGGCTCAGACGGAAAAGTTATCCTGTTTCGACTCTCTCAGCTTGAAGTTTTCACGCTTTCCCTCGACGTTTCACTTTGCCTGCCGACTAAAATTATAGCAGGTGGCGCGAAAGAGTTTACCACGTTCGACTCGACTCTCAAGAGATACATTGAGGGGTAGATAAACGTACGTAGACGGTATCGTTGACACTGACTATGTACATCTTCTTTGAACGGGCGTACCTCTAGACCCCGGCGAAGTTTTGCCGTCGATTAAGGTGCTCTCAGTCGAGGGTAGCGCCATTTTACGCGGACTTGGCCTTTATAAATCTCCGATTTCAGGCCGTCCAGTAGGCCATTCCGTAGCATCGAGCTGTCTGCCTGCAGCTGCACGGGACACTAGGCATTCCGCGGTCTAGCCGACCGCGAATCCTACAGACCAGAGCGGCGTTTAGTTTTCCACGCAGACTGTACTACTAGGTATGTGCCAGTATCGTCCTCCACGACATATGACCACAGTTGACTTTAACTTTCCATTTTTAGGAATTCATCGGACGTTTGTATTACATACGCTATTTTCATTTAATCATTACTACAAATATCTTATTTTTATCTTTGCGTATACTTTCAAACGAAACAATTTACTTTATAAATTGCTTTCACTATACCTTTTTAGTGTTGCTCCCATGTGAAATATGAAAATACAAAATATTCTGAATTTTATCGAATTTTTGTTTGAATTCACTATCACTATTTTGTTAATGCGTTACTTAAAAATAATATTTTTAGAAATATATAATCTAGAATAACAGAGTAATATAATACGATTTATCGATTTGTTATATTTTATCAGTTGAAAATTTGAATTAGGATTACCAACTGTATACAGGTTTCTATTGCCCTGGGTAAAAAGGGATCAGTAGCTGCCCAATAGCTGTCGCCATCTATCCGCCGCATCCAATATTATTAATTACACAGAATTTCGTTTCTAGGTATAAAACACGTGTTACGCATGCGCCATTAATTTAAATAAACATAATAGTAAATAATAATAATTTAAAAATAAGTATTATTGTAGAAAATTCTTAAATTTTGTTCAATATAATAATCGTTACATTTACTATAGAGAAATGTTCGTTAATGTACTACAAATGCATACTTCATAATGTAGAAAGGTGATTCTGTTTATACTAATTACTATATAACCGCATACTTTGATGTTCGATAGAGAGCTATATAAGAGCGTTGCTTGGCAGCAGTCTTTAGTCGAAGCCGATCAGTGACAAGTGAAGGATGTATTTAATTTTGTGTTACAAATAAAATTCTAAAAACCGCAAGAAATTTATATTTAAGCACGTTGTTAAGATGTGACTAAATATTTACATACTATACATTCATTATATCGCATCTATGGTATAATTTTGTGCTATAATTTTGGATATATAAAAATAATAAAATACGTATTAATACAAGTAAAATGCGTAAGATCATTTCAGTTTTTAAATATTATAGTGAATAAATATTTCAATACCGAATTGAAAAAAAATGTCACGTTAATACGCATGCTTGTCACGTGCCATGGTGGTTAGTTATGTATCAAACAAAAAATCTTTATTAGCCTTTATATATTATCAAATTTTTTAATTGTGTTTTATAAGAAATTAACATTGTAATAGTATTCGAGTATATAATAAATATATATACATAAAATAGTACATAATGGATTTGATAGAATATGCGTATTGTGAATAACAGAAAATAAAGCTGTTACATATATTACATTATGTACATACAATTTTCTACAAGAGATCGCGTGGTTTTTTAATTTATAAAATTATGTTATTAAACATAATAAAATAAGATTTCTTGATACGGTTATTAGCTACGTTATGTGTTAGAATTAATAATTATACTCTGCTTAGTCGCACAAATTTTTGTTTCTAATGTATGACTAACAATGTAGGAAAGTATAAATATGACATTTTAGATACATATATACGTCATATATTGCATCTAGTTTTAAAATTAATTAGTTTTGCACTGCTTATCATTTTCAGTGTAATATCACCTTGCTCGTCCATCTTTTTCTTTTAGTAATTTCGAGACATTCATTTTCAATCAGTAAATTATCAAATATTGCACTAGATACGTTACTGAATCATATAAATAGGTGAACCATATCCTCGATCGGATTTCGCATCGTGTGTCAGGGATCGGCTGCAGCAGCTAGGTACATACCGCTCAAAGAGTGGCCAGGGCCAGCGCGTAAGATCGCGCAGACGATGTGACAACGTTGCACGGTCGATATGCTCTTTCAGGCAAAGTGCCAAGATTGGTAAACGCACGCGGGGGTATATAGTCGCGGTTTCAGGTGCCCTTCCCTCCTCTAACGCCCGCGTTTCATCCCCACTGCGACTCCTGGAACTTACCCGTGGGATTCTGCGTGGTAGTGGGGGTCGAATAACAAAGGTGGGGGAATTGAAGCTGCGCAGAACGTTGCCAGACGTCCGTCGCTGTTTGTGCCTTTGCGCAGCTCTTACATACATATACCCAACAGCCTCCTATGTACTACATATGTATTATACTTATTATTTTAATCATGATTTACGGCTGCAACGTTGCCGATTCTCGTTGCAGTCACGCCCACTCGGTCTCTCTTTTTTCACTTTTCAGTCGTACATACTAATATATAGATGTACATATGCGGGGAAAAAGCAACGTCACTTGATCGATACTTAAAGAAACATATAACAACAAAAAGATATACAAAATGTATTTATCATTATTGTTATATAAGCAGGATAAGTATATATACTTATACTCATTGTTAATATATGAAATGAGAAATCTTTAGTTAAGTAACCGTAATATAAATTACCAAAAAAACAATAATTAAGGAAATAAACATTAAGATACTCAAATATTTATTGTTTTTTTGTTTAAATTGTATATTTTAACAATGACTATTATCGAAATAATAAAAATGTTAATCCTCGTGACCATGCAACGTTGCCATTGCAAAATGGCCGACGCGGCCTTGATTGGCCCGATTTCTTCTGTGGCATACGCTGGGCCAGTCGTTTTGGCAACACTGGAAGGTCATATCAATCTATTTATAGTAGCCCTCTATTGCTGCTGTTGCTATGCCAAGCGGAGGCACAGATCGCAGGGAGGGGAAGCAGCGGAAAACGGAGGGGGAAGAGATTACTAAAGAACAATATGGCGTTGAACCGGATGTGCCCTCTACCAATCTATCCATTCTCTTTGCCATAACTGCACTGTCTTTCTCTATCTCTCGAACATTTGTCATCCTTCTTTTACTATTCCCTTTTTCTTCCTAACAGTAGCGTATTTCTCGTTACGTTTCGCTCAATTATAAAATCATAAGGGTAAATATTACGTAATGCAGTCAAATATCATACACATGGGCACATTTGAACGAAATATGCTTGCTTTAATCGCGATGAGATGTACAACAAGGTCACTATATTTTACGTGTTTTAAAAGAAGCATAACGAAGATTTGGAAAAGAGTTAATATTCCATCGCGATGATGAAAAAGGATAATCCAAGTATGCTCTATCATTTTCGTAGATGTAATTTTTTGCGCAACTCGGTAGAATTGCATATGGCGCCGTGCACTTGTAGCAGCTGACAAGCATCGTGGTGTGTGTTTCCATGGTGCACAAGCACGCATGCGACTTGCACGAAGCCGTCGCCTCGGGAATGCTCGGTAAACTTCGTGAAACTGCCTCTTTGTTACATCATTCTTTAGCTCTTATGTAGTACATAGGGGCGGGTACATTATATACTACGTCTGCACATATTTCCCTCCCAGCTCTCGCTCTCGTATATACAGTGTATATAGTTGCCTTTGCATATATGTGCCGGCGGAGCAAACGGGCGGGCGATCGGAGAAGTGAGCTGTGCTCCGCGTTACACGAGGTGTAGAAATGTGAATCAACTAGAACGGATACTAGAGTACGTAAAGTATACGTGTTTTGTCATCGATAGATTTAAAAATTATAATAAAGCAGACTTCCGATAGTTTCAGGTCAAACTAAATTATTACGACAGTTATAATTCTATTACTTCAAAATGTTCATGTCTTCAACTTCATTTATATATATATATATATCTTAACGTAAATGTAACTATTCTATGGCTGGATTAAATCTTTATAAAAATGATATTGCAATAAAATGAAATATGCGATTGCGATATCTAATCCTTTTGACAGTGACTAACAAAAAAAGTAACTAGAAAGGAAGAAAATCTGGTAACCTAAAATTTGTTCAGATAATATTGTAATTTGTAAAGACTAGCGAAAAGACAGGTTAAAAAATGACTTTCTAGTTAGAAACTGACTCTGAACTAATAACCGACATGAAAAATGTTTACATTTTATTATGTTGTAAATGTGGGATCAATTTCTTGATGGCATACAAAAAAATGCTCTTTTATCACAATATCAATGACATCGTATTATTTTTTCTAATATCTGTAATAGATAAACTTTGCATTTTTTTATTTCAGTTAATTCTTTACCTACCGATAAAAGAATTATACACCGATATCGTTAATCATGCTACATTATGTTCGTATATAATATCTTGACAGAAATTTTAACTTTAAATTGTTAGGGAAGTCGTGATTAGATCGCAACGATATCGAAAAATAGTTAGAAAATGTAATTAATTGAATTAATTGACAAAAAGATGTATGTATGCTTCTAGTAGTTAGAAACTATACTGCATTTTCCTTGTACCGATATGAGATTGTCATTAAGTCACATTCATATAACACAGTGACATTACAGGATATGTACAAAAATTTATAATACAAATTAAATTATAGTATGTGTTTGTTTAATATAGTAATAACTGTCTTACCCTAACCTTAATAGGTAATAAAAGAAATAAAAAAATTCTTGATAAACAGATAATCGTTATTATCTTATCTTAATTACGTTTTTATAAGAAATATATCTATCTATAAGCGGTATATTTAATGTTTAACATCTTCCATTAATATAAACAACTTTTTAATAAAAGACGACACACTTTAAGCTTCTCATAATATTTCATCTCTATGGAAATTATACGGTTCTTTAATTTGAGTATTCATTACACAGTTTCTTTCCAAAAAAATATCTACGATATTGCCAGGATCATCTTACCGTTTGCTTTAAATAAACCGTGACGTCATCCTCTGCAAGCACACGCGGATAAAATGAAATGTGAATTAACATCCTTTTATTAATCATACATTGAAATGTATTGTAAATAAATTTTGTTATTAACGATTTATCACGTGTACAAATATTAAATAACCGTGATCAATATATATATATTCGCCGAAATATAGAACCATTCTTGCAAACATTAGATACGTAAATACTATCAACAGTACTCCTGGAGTAAATCCATATATACATATATCTCCACAATATACATATATACGTATACATTTATGTAATAGATATATCTATGTACAATCACACATATAATGCAACAGTAAGTAAACATAAACAATCTTAAAACAACAAGTTGCTTTCCTACGTTTACAATTGGTGTATGTTCAAATACAATAACACTCGCTGACACCCAAACTGAATTAAGTATCTTACAGGATACGAGTTCACTAGTATAGGACTTAAAAATGAATTCACAACAAACAAGTATCCACTTACATGTAAACGAGTCTTGGTAGTGGATGATACAGGAATTAACAAACGTCAAATATTTTACATAACTGTGCCCCAGCAGACTAACTACAGCACGTACAATATTTATAAATAAAGGAAATATGGAAGAAAGAGAGGAATATGTTAATTTTAATCGATCGTATATAATAAAAAAAAAGGAAATAGAAAAAGCACGGGTAAAAGGTGCGTGTGGAATGTGAAAAGAATGAAATGTCTATTCGGATTGTACGTGTCGTTGTTGAAACGGTAAATTATCAACACGAGAGATGCAGATGTTGACAGGTAGTCGCATCGTGGAACCACGTTTCGCCGGGTCTGCACGAGGCGCAGCTCATAGAAAACAGAAAGCACGATGTGTACCTTCTAGGCACTGGGCATTGGTACAACATAGCAAGGGTAACGTGATTGGACGTGGTAGGAAATCGAGTGAGGAATACAACGTAGATAAAAAAGGATAGAACGACTATCTAACGAGAGAGGAATACAGATGATAGAAAGAGGGAAAG